ATGTATGTGTTGCAGGAAACAGAACTTGCAAATGTAATATGAAAAAAAGCGCATGGAACCAAGGAATATGACATTGCTACAATAAGGGTAGTAAACAGTAGCAATGACCTGCTTTATGTCCAAGTAGGATAGAGTAAATGTGGGTGTGCTGACACCGATGAGTTAACTGTAAAGTTTGTTTGGTATCTTGCTGAATGAAGTATGCAAGAAATGCAGATGGAATACTGTATTTTTGTTCTTTAAACACTAAGGTCCGTGTGTATCGTACTTTAGAGTGTAGATCAGATCGTGCACTGGACAAAAAAAAAGTCTTTGGAAAAACATCAGTTACCCCTGTACATGCGATTTGACTCGGTATTCTCGTGGGTTCCATGACAAAACCCCAACGGGGTTGTCATTTGTCAACACTAACCTAACCTATCCTAACCTAACCATAAAAGTGGTTTATTTTATATATGAGACTGGGGTTTTGTCCGTTGGGGTTTTATCCGGTCACCATTCTCTTGTGTATGTGTGCGTGCGTGCGTGCGTGCGAGAGAAACAGAAATCAACTTGTATCTCTTACATGTTAAAAACGTAGTACACCTTTTCACATATCCGTCGAGACATTGTTACATAACTATTTGACAAATTTCATAACCGAATGCTAGAACACTTATAGAATGACAATCTAAAATAACTGTTCGTTCATGCTAACGGAAATGATTGACATAAGTTATGAAGTTGATAGACGTGAACAATAAACCGACAGTCTACATGTATAAGTTTGAAAATGTAACAATTAAAGATTTTTTTTTTTATTGGGCACTCCCCTACATCCTCGTGTAAGGTGAAGTGCAGAAGCGTTTACAGTGCCCAACAGGGAAGCATGCTAAGTTCATGCTTGCCTTTATGTCTCATGAGTTAAGGGCATAGAAGCCTGAAGAGTCAATGGTTTATGTCATCAAGTTATTGGAGGCTCCAACAACTTGTCCCTGAATACTAATTCGCAACTTTCGATTTACAACAGGTACCTACTCTACTGCTAGGTAAACAGGGACTAATGGGGGCTAGGAAGTATGTCCAAACAACTTTTCCACCGGCCCGGGAATCGAACCGGTGACATCTAGCTTGCGAGGCAAGCGGCTCCCCGTGAAGGTAGTTTGTTTATTTACAATGACACGGTAAAAAATGTCTCTTCACCCCCCCAGGTTTACTGACACATGATTAAGGCTATCAGTGGTACGCAGCCTCAGTTCATCTTTATCTAGGGTACGATATCTTTGTGTGGGGTGGCCAGTAGAACGATAAGAGATGCTCAAGGTTGTGGCCACTTGTTTACACAGGATGTATGGGACAGTGTATAGTAATGGTGCTTCGACTTGCACCTTACAGTAGACATTTGTTTGTAAAGTTTGTAGGACTAAAAATACTTGCCCAAAATTCTTTTTTATCTTAATAAGTCGTAAACAAAAATAACACCAAGTTAACTCAAATAGTAAGGCTGCGTTGATGTGAATTGTTATGGTAAAGGTTTTTAGTAGCTCATGGAAAGAACTGATTGGGGTGGGGATGACTTATGTCACTTCATCCCTTATGAGAGATGTATTAATGTTTTTTGTATCTCAATAAACGTATCAATCAATCATGGAAAGAATGTTCTGTTGTTAGTCTTGGTTAACGAACATGAATTTCAGAATTGCATTAATGCCAACAAACTGACCAACTTTGTTACTTCATTAATATCCTGTACTAAATACTCTCTCCACGTTTTACACCAAATTACTTATAATTTTACCCTTCGATCACCATGAGGTGGAACCCAAGTAGTGTGGGGAGAGAGCATACTGTTCACTAGAATCACTACTATGACGCCACCCACCTCATGACTCGCGATACCACAAGGTCACCCGCTCAGCACTACTAATGCACAGTTGTAGTCGGCTTGTCACTGTGATTTTAAAGAACCCAAATAACCTTATATTTTCGTGGTATAATATTACGTTTATCTTAAGAGAAACATGTTTTTTTTTTGTTACTTCGTTAAAACTAAAGTTACCTGTTGCCAGAGCTTGAGCTGGCATACTGTATCAGGTCTTTTTTTTATTTACTAGTACCTGGTATGGAGACTTAGGGGTAATAATTTGATGGTAATGCTCTCCTTAATAAGGCGTACCTGAATTAGTAAAGCCAGCCAAACATCGTGATCTCCCTTGTGTTATTTGGTAATTACAAGTAAGTTTACCTTACAGTTTTGTGATTACACCCTTGCTTGTATTTATGGGAGTATATTACATTTTAAGGACAAAATGTGTATTCGTGCACAGAGCAATTCTTTGATGATGAACAGGATGAGCTAAGTAGTGCGCAGTACTGGCTAAGATGACGAAACAGGACCTGGCACCTCTAACACCAGTCTCCACTGTCTGCTGCAGTTTTTTTTTTTCGGGATTAGCCAACCTGGGCACAGGTCACCGACCTACATCGGGGCCTGATGGAGGGGGGGGAGGGTAAATTGAATCAAATATACTGTATACAGTATACATAAATCGGGGGCGGATCCGGAACCCTCCTTTCATCAGAAATTCCATTACGCACTTTTCTTTAATGCAGTATTGTACTCAGGAGTTTTTGTGTAGTAAAAAAAAATTACTATTGACCTCAGAATATTTCCTAATATCGAGTGCTCATGACTTCAAAGTGACCATGATATTGATCAAATTAAAAACAAATCGGGGGGGGGGGGTACAGCCTCCCCTCCAAAACCCTCCAGCTGGGTGGGCTCTGTGTTCAACATGTTCCCCCACTAATAACTTCTTGGGGGCCCTTATTGATATTCCTGAATTTGCCCCTGTAAATGAGAAAAACAAAGCAGAACATTAGTGAAAAACAGGCGAATATACTGTAGAACTCACGACCGTCAGCGGTTCTGTAATTATAGAGGGGTGTTTTTAGACATTTTTTTTACCCTGATTACTTAAACTTCTATTCATTTTCTTGTGTAAAAAGCTTAGTTTTCTAGATATAGGGGGAGTTAAGATATAATGGTTGCCCCTCGTGTAATGAGGATGGCCGGCCCAAGGGCCACCTGGGCAGGAATTTGTTTAAGGTATAGAAGCTATCGCCAACACAACAACCACACCCAGAATTAACGAGTTGCCTGACCCGGTGTCAAGGAATAGTCCGGGAAGACCAGACAACTCGCCTACTGCACTGGCTAACCATTACCCCAGAATACGATCTGCAAATTGATTAACATCCAGGTCCCCAATTACTGCTGGGTAAACAGAGGCAAATGGCATAAAGAAACTTGCCCATAATTTCACCCTCCCCGGGTAGGGTATAATTAAATCTGATGAGGACTCCGCAAAACTACAGAAAGATCTAAACAAATGTTTTGAATGGTCTGAAAAATGGCAGATGAAATTCATTGTGGACAAATGTAAAGTACTCAGTATAGGAGATGTAAAGAGGGAAACCAGATACCAGATGAACAATGATGTTATTGAGAAATCCGAGTGCGAGAAAGATTTAGGAGTAATGATAAGTAGGAATCTTAAGCCAAGTAAACAATGTGTATTAGCTCGAAACAAGGCTAATAAAGTACTTGAGATCATACAAAGGAGTGCTATACATAAGACTATGGTGTTTGGTGCATGCTGACCATTACACAACAGGTTGCCTAGTTAAAATATAGATATAGGTTAGGTTTGGTTAGGGTAGCATATGATTTCAGCCATTTTTTTTTTCCAACATAATACAGTATCTCTAATAAAATCAGCAAAAGCTGTGTATTTTTAAACCCATTTTCAATGAAAAATAGTGGACGGTCACGATCCAAAGAATTACGGAAAAACTATATGTAGTACAGTACTTTATGTTTTTTGTCAAAATAAGAGAAACAATTGAGGTCCTGCAATTGTGTGTAAATGAGGCAGAAAATCAGTCGGATTTGCTACCTGGGACTTGGTCACAATTTTTGTGATGCCTTTTGGCAGTAGGGTATACCATTAGGCAACACATAATGCTTCCAGTTTCTTCTCATGGTGTCCACATTAAACCTTTATCTCTTTGGGGCGAGGTACGTGTTGCCTTTTTTTTCATATACTGTACCGTAAAATTATTTTTAAAATGCTGCAATTTCGCAGTGTTTTGTAATGGACACTGTCGTAGTTTGGGCAAGTGTGTTAAATAGTGGTTATTTCTAAAATAAACTACCTAACCCTAGTTGATTAGAAAAACAAGCAGTAGCAGCATTGTTAGAAGACTACAAACCTAACCAATGAAATATATCTAACCTTGCCTAACTTCCTAGCCATGGGGCTGCAGTCCCTGGACCCCCCAGCATATTAAACAGAAAGAACTTACTATAATATAGTGTAATTTTACATTTTTTGTGGATGTGAGAGAAGCCACCTGGACCAAATAGCTCATAAACAAACACTGAGCCTAGGACAAAATTCAGCATCTTTCGGAGCGCCTCCCAATTTATTGCCACACAAGACGAAGTAGTGCTGCTAATGCGAGCCTAGGGGCCTAGTTATCTACCAAATGAAGCATTTGCCCAAGAAATGGATATCATATATGAGCTCACTGATGGAAATATAGTAAAAAAAGAAACGTCAAAACAAAACTGATATATTGTCGATATTAACCATAATTTGGCTTCGTAGAGTTTGTGATGAATGCTTCATTACCAGTCTTGGAGTGACTTGGAATTCATTACACGACTGCAGCATCAGTACTGTATCAAAGTTCATATGCATCTGTTAATGTTTTCTCAAACTTTGTCTCCTGAAGTTTATAAGAAGTTTTTTACTATCGTGTATTGTACGGTATGGGAACTCTATATCAAATATGCTACACGGAATTATAATAAACAACTAAATTTTTTCCCTTATATTAATTATTTTTATGCACTGTAAAATTTTGTGTACTGAATTGTTTAACAATTGCAAATCCATATACCCTGTATTATGTTATATTTGACTGAAATAATAATGCTGTAATTTCTTTCACAGAGAGCTAAGAAAGTGTTTGATCCAAGCGAGGGAGGACTGGCAGTAGCTGGACGGAAGAGGACAGTATACCGTTGTGACGTGTGCTTCCAAACTGTTAACCAACACAATGTACAAGAGGACCTGTTAGTGTGCCACAGGTGCTCAGCCAGAGGTGAGTTTAACATACAGGCTTGAGTTCATGAACTTGGTGATGCTGGTAGTGGAAACTACATTGATGTGTTGATATTTCATGATCCTTGTGTCACAGTTTTTTGCATGTGGGGCTGTACTGTATTAGGGAATCCAATTAATATTGTTATGCCAGGCATAATTTAGTTATTCTGATTATTTTCTATTCCAAGCAGTTATTTTGGCAAGTTTGGGGAGATTTTCTTGTACACCCTGTACAATGTACATTGATGTATTATATGGAAGAATTTTCTAGATTGTATTGCATAATGTTTGCTATGATACTTACGTATTGTAAGCTTCGATCAGAGTAAAATGTTCTAGAACTTCCCAGGCATATCTGGTTACAACCTGCAATGCCTGGATGGTGCAAGGATGTTCTAGGTGTCGTCTGAGAAGAGGTATATAAGCGCTAGCTAGCTGCATAGCAGGTGGGCTATCCACCTTGCGGGGACGAGGTTTTGTCTTCTGTTGACGGAAGACAAAACCTCGTCTCCGCAAGGTGGATAGCCCACCTGCTGTCAACCTCCTCCTATATTTCCTACTTCTAAACTTTACCTTGTACTGTACCCTTCTTGCACCCTCAGAGCTAATGCTCTCTTCTCTCCATATCACCAACCAACCAGGAAGTATCGCCCGTTCCTGCGCAGTGTGTGAAGTACAGTACAGTTAACCCTCACTTTACGCGGTTAATGTAACCCGGAGGGTCCCGCGTAAAGTGAGAAACGCGTAAAGTGAATAACATAACATATGGGATTAATTGAAATGGAGTCCGGGCCGATCCCCAAACTCCACTTTTTGACGACACACAACTATGTTGTAGTAAAAATATTATCTTAACTTTATGATGGTATGCACACACAATTAATAATTAAGAGAAATATCAATAATATTAGGTTTTTTAACACTTACATTAGTAGAAAAAATGGCTGGGCACACGGGGATGGGCGGTTGGTTCCGAGGCAGAGGGCAGATTATTGGCCCTCACCTGTGTCACTTGTATCAATTTTATCACTATCCACCACAGAGGCTTGCAGGGCCTCTTTGTCAAACTCCCCAAAGTCCATATAAGTCCATATCCTCACCATAATTATCACTATCACTGACTTGGGCCGGCTGTGGTGGGTGGCGGGTGAAGAACTGGTAATGTTTTGATGACTGGGCGACCTTGTGCGCACCATGTTCGCGCAGCTTACACAACATGGCGGATGGCGGGAGGTTTTGATCCAAAAATGGCGCGGCTTGCCAGCCGCTCTCCGCGTAAAGGGGTACACGCACCGCGGAATGTGAGCATCCTGGGTTCCGGCAGGGCACCGCATAAACGTGGAATGTGGGACCGCGTAAAGTGAGGGTTAATTGTGTATATATATATATATATATATATATATATATATATATATATATATATATATATATATATACAGGTTGTACCTCTCTAGTCCGGCATTCTGTGGTCCGGAAACTCCCGTGGTCCGGAACGATTTTAGTTTGTCCAATAGGTAGATAGGCAGCTTTTTTCTTTTTTTTTCTTTTTTTTATTTCTCTGAATTATTATTATTATTACAGGAGTATTAAATTTTTGCCCCTCAGGCCCCAATGTGGGTCAGTGACCTATGCCCGGGTGGGCTAATCCCCTTAAAAAAAAAAAAGCCGCGGGAAATTAAGGTTTGTTTACATCCGGCAGTTCGGCTGCTCTCTCTCTCTCTGCTTGTCTATACAGAGTACAACATTTAACCCTTCAATATATATGAGCAGTAAATAAGTGTTGCTCTCATATTCTTATGTAGAGTAATGACGATATATTTTCACATGTGCGCACTTACATACGAGCAGTCTCACTTTTTTTTTTACCATTAATGGTTAGCTACTTATATTGTTCCATTTATTAACATTAAATAACATTGCAGGTACTTCAAACAACCATATTAATTTTTTTACATTAATTTTACTACAGCTACAATCAGGGTCTTATTTTCTTCAGTTTTATATGTAGAACCAATCAGTCACTGGTTTTGTAAGCTTTAACATAAACAATGCCGGCAGCCGTCTCGCCTCCTCGTGTGTTTTAATATTCCACGTATTATTAATAAATTGTATTGTTAATTTTGCACACACAAACATTAATTCAATAAAACAAATTCAGAAACACTAATTAAAATATATATGAACAGTAAATAAGTATTGCTTTCATATTCTTATGTAAAGTAATGACGATATGTTTTCACGTGTGCGCACTTACATACGCGATCTCTCTTTTTTCTTTACCATTATCGTTAGCTACTTCTATTGTTCCATTTATTAACATTAAATAACATTACTTAAAACAACCATATTAATTTTACTCCAGCTACATCCAAGGTCTTATTTTCTTCAGTTTTATATGTAGAACCAGTCAGTCACTGGTTTTGTAATCAACGAAAACAATGCTGTGTCATTTCCTCGTGTGTTTTAATATTCTACGTATTATTAATGAATTGTATTGCTCATTTTGCACACATAAACATTAATTCATTAAATAAGACATTCAGTAATAAACAATAATGAATCTTTTGTACATAAGAGAAATGACACTGTTTACACGATTGTGCACGTCGTCTGCACGTTAGCGGGCCGTTCAAACCCGTCGAAATTCAAGTTTCCGCCGTCAAAATTTTTATTTATTTTTTTTGTGTTCCAATAAAATACGTTGAATTAAAAACTCGCGAAATTTGAGAAGCTACTATACGACATTTAACCCTTCAATATGTCTTCAAAGAGACCATGATGCAGAGAAAGTGGTGCTAGTGCTTCCAAGCATAAGCACAAGTCACTATCAATCCAGGAAAAGGGTGAATTTCCATGGTCCGGCACCGGTCAGGTCCCGATGTTGCCGGACTAGAGAGGTACAACCTGTATTGTGGAAATGTTGTGCGCTATATAGTGAAAAGACTAAGGAATTGTACTCTGGTAGTGTACTGATTGTATACATTCGAAGTGAGAAGTCTGGTTGTAAGGACATACCCTGTGAACAGTTTTGTGAAGATTTAGTGATTATTAAAGAAGGCTACATTTCCCAAGTGTGTTTCGATGACCTGGCAGAAAAATCAATCTGCCTGTTGTTTGTCTGTACACTAATACCAATCGTCAGGAAATTATCGGAGATTGGCGGCACAACCAGTGGTAATTCAACAACAAATGTGATATGCTGTATCTACTGCTTTTGTATTTACAACCTGGCCACTGGTAACCAGCAGGGGAAGCTGGTAAGTGGCAAAGGGGGTTCGTAACACTGGTGTCAAGAGTGGGATAGCCTAGCAGTGAAAGATTAATCATGATGGAAGGTAATGGTTTCCAGACCAGAAGCCAAGCCAGGCAAGGGGAAATTTCCAAGTCTGATCTGATGCAATACATTCTAGAAAATTCTTATATGGGTAATACATCAATATATACAAGAGAATCTCCCAAAACTTGCCAAAATATCTGCTACTTTAAATAGAAAATAATCAGAACACCTAGTCCACAAATGTTATAATACTCTGTATTAAATTATGCCTTGGCATAACAATATTGACGACTTTACCGTCTCGGTAATTTGTTTTGATGGATTGTTTCTTACTATGCTTTCATTGCTGAGTTCAGATATGATTTTAATTTCTTAGGCAAACGCTTCATTTGGTTGATAACTTAGGATCCTATACTTGCACTAGCATCACGCCTTTGTCTTTTGTGGCAATAAAACAGTAAGGCAGCCTAATTCAAGTTCGATTTTGTCCTTTGCTCTTTGTTTTGTTTATGAGCCACTCAGTCCAAACAGCTTCTCTCATGTAAAAAAAAAAAAATCGAATATTACACAATGTCATATTAAGATCTTTCTGTTTAATATGGTGGCGGCGGCCGGGGGGGGGGGGGTCAGAGTCCCTAGCTACGAAGTTAGGTGAGGTAAAGTAGGTTTCTTTGGTTAGGTTGGTGTGAGTCTTCTAACAATGCTTTGGCCACTTGTGTTTCTTATCAAGTAAGGTTTGGTTAGATTTAATTACGAAATAACCCCAACAGGAAAGTCATCAATAATTACCTGGAATCCTTTTTTGTCTTTTCTGTGTTTGGAGTTACTGAATAACTTTTCTTGCTGACATTAAAAGCAGAGACTGTTGGTATGAACTGTTACCCGAGACACTGCTGTCTATAGCTGACCTTAGATGGTCCAGGAAGCTCATTTAAATTAGTTTCATCTTATTCTGCACCTAAATAATTTGTATGTTATATCTGTTGTTTATGTAAAAATTGTGTACAGTTTTTAGAGAAAGCATATTAATATTTAATTACGCAGTTTATGGTTTTTCTAGTACAGTACCGTACAATGTAGAATATGTATATATTAGAAGCAGGTAACGTATTTAATATATTATAAAAGTAATGAAAGCCAAATACAAGGTCAAGTGAACATTTTTGCCTATGCCTTGATATGGCTTGGACCAAGTTATAACAAGCTATTCTGGAAAGTATCCAACAAGTACCCATGACTCAATAGTTAAATACAGGGTAATACCTAACCCAATCTAAGTTCATCAAACCTATAAAAAAGGAGGTAAAAATTTACTGTGGTATAGCATATTTTTCCTAGATAAAGAATTCCGTTCATAGGTTTCTTATCTGATACATTCAGTAGCGATTTTTTTTTCGCTGCAAAATTGGTGAAAATGTATTTTACCCCAACAAAACCTAACCTTACAGTATCTTACTTTACCATATCTAACCTAACCTAACATTACCCAACCTAACTTAACTTAAGAATGCCAAAATGCACATGACAGACAATTAAGTTCTCTAGAAAAATTTCAATTTTTTTTTAAGGGATAACAAACTTTTTATAATTTCTCCAACATATCTATAAATCTGTTGATGATGTATTAACATCACTTAGGATGCTACTATTATACATTTCAACCCTTGATTATCTCTACAAATGGATTATAAAAAAGGAATGGTTAAGTTAGGTAAGGTAAGGTAAATTTAGGTAAGACATGTTAAGGTTATGTTAGGTAAAGATTAGCCTAATTAAAGGTTTGCTTAGGTTAAGTTAGGTTAGGTAAAGTTACGTTTGGTTACATCAGGGTAAGGTACATTTCACTAATTTTGCAGTAAAAATAGAACATACTACTAATTGTATTAAATCAAAAACCTATGAAAATATACTTTTTACAAGGAATCTATAAGCTATGGTACCATATCTCTGCTACTGTACGTAACTCATGAGGCGTTTTGAGTATGCGGCCCCAGTACTGTATTGTCTTATATTGACAACGTTTAATGCTATATTATGTCTTTTTACAGATTAACCATAAATTTGCTTAATTGGTGCAGTATTTAGAAAGTTTATCTATGTTATGTCTTGCAGCCCATCCAAGTTGCCTGGGATATAGTGCCGAGTTAGCTGTGCGTAGTCGCCTAGGACCATGGACTTGCATGGATTGCAAACATTGTGCCATATGCAACATGGATCACAATATAGTAAGGATTAAGGAATTTTTTTGTTTTTGCATCTCATATCCTAATTCCCATGAAAGGTTAACCATGCTCTATATTCTTTTAGCTAATACAAAGGTTTTCTTATTATAAAATTGTGATGTACTCTGTGTTGCTGTGAAATCCTGTTTTGATAAGTCTTTATTTACCCAGTTCTGTTTTCAGTTGCACTATTCTGTTCTCTCCATTTATTCTTTTGATTTGCAATGTATAGTCGCTGACAAAATACTCTCAACACGTCTGGTAGCACTACTGTACTCTTACATACATTCAGATTGTGTCACAGTGTTTCGGTCTCCTATCCCGTGTTCTATAAAGCAAGGTACAGTACACCAAAGTGTTACTTATATGCATGATTTTTTGCCCTTTATGTATGCTTATGTTGTCTCAGATGCTACCAGACGTGTCGAGAGTATTTTGTCGGCGATTGTACCCGATACTTATTTTAGGACTTGATGTGCCTGATATGGTTCAACAAAAAGTATTAGGGTGACACCAGTACAGCATTGGGGATCATTTCAAAACCAGGCCAAGAATAGGGTGCAATTTCATGGGCCAAGTTTTACATTTGTATGACTTTCTTTTCTTATTTGGCAAAGATCCTATATAGAAAATAGGATACCAGTGAGAAATACTGTAAAGGGAAAAAAATACACTTCAAAGGGTGCCAGCTACTGTGCTTAAATTTGTACAGTCATGGAAGAGGGCCATAAAATGGTGATGGTGATAGTGAAAATCTTATGCCTCCTGTGAATTAAAGATATCAATGTCTTGTGTTGTCATGTATGTTTGGATTATAATCCTTGAATACTGTAATTAGTTTTGTTTGTTTAACACTATATACTGTATATTACTAAAAGGATAAGAATCTTTATATTTATTGGGTAGTAAAATTTAAAAAAATTTTATCCTTTACTTGGATTTGTTTTTCACTTTGATGATTATTGCATCTGTAGAGAAGGGAGGATCAATAAAATTATTTTAATTTTTACCTGTACAGGAATGCTTTGATTTACAAAATCTCGATATACAAAACTTCATTAAAACAAAAATAAAATTTGTTCCAGTGCGTCATTTATGAACGAAAACCCCCCCATTTGCGAGAAAAAAATGCTGTAATTTTTTCATAGCATTAGAAAATGCTGAGTTGTTGACACAGACATCTGAGAGCATTTTGTACTGAACATAATAATAATAACAATAATAATTAATGGTTTATTAAGATAACATGGCAGCCCGAAGGCTGAAAATATACAATGAACAGGGATAAGTTACATATGGTGGAATCAGGGAGTGGGTCACTTGATTGACAAAAGCTTTCAGTACAGAAACATAGAGTCAACATGTAAATTAAAATTGGATCTGGTACTGTGGGAGCTGGTCTGCAGACATTCTTGTAACCTGATGCCGGAGCCAAGCCGCTACCTCACTACAGCTGCAGGTGTATCACGTGGTCCGGGTAGGTCCTTCAGCTCACACAGGGTGTTGGAGATGGTTCTTGGGATGTAGTTAGGAATTCATAGTTCCTCACCTGGGTGGAGTAGGGAGTCCTAAATTTCCCTCCTGGTGTAGTTTGGAGAGTTTCTTGGCTTCTCATACAGTGTTGGTGAGTGTACGGCGGACCCTGGGTGTGTCAGGTCAACATTGACCACTAAGCACGATTGTCGTTCTAACAGTTGTTTCTTTGTTTCGAGTTGAAATTGTCACTTTTGTTTATCACTTGTGGGTTGATCGTCACTCTTTGTACTGTACTGTTGGTGGGAGGATGTTGATAAATCCTGATGGGGAAAGGGGGGGGGGGCGACAGACCACAGCCGCGTGAGCGGGCAGCGCCAACTACACACGTCCTTACCCAATGTAAGGCTGAAGGAGTAAGCAGTGTATGTAGTGCAGGCTAGTGTGTGGCAATGTTTCCGAGCTTATATACTGTATACAATACATTTACCGATACAGTAATGTGTCATCTAATGAAACTACTGTATATTGATCTAAAAGTATAGCTAACTGACCACCAAATAAGAAGTGGAAATTTATAACTGATCACCCTAAACACTGATCATCTACAGTTTCCTGTAAGTAGAATATTCTAATTTGGATTAAATAAGCTTGATACTGTACTCTACAGCTTTATTAATGTTTTGTGACTAATACATATTCTGTACTTAGAAGTAATGTTTCCCACAAAAAAAGGGATTAAAAATGTATGTTATTACGTTTAGGGAACATTTTTTTCGTAAGAACGTATCTTCCTTTATATGATGGTGGTCAATGGGGAAAAATGACTTCATTTTACTTAAAGTCGATTTACAAAAAGTCTTCCAGAAACGTCTCTTTTTTTTTGTAAGTCAAAGCACTCCAGTAATAGGTTGAGCAAATTCATAAAAACGTATTGTACACAGTTACACAATGCATTCCCCCATGTGTAAAGCATTATAGTAGGTACTGGTAGCCTTTTAGTGAACCCAAATTCAACTTGTACTTCTGGGATGCAGAAAATTTTTGAATATGTTATGTAGGAACCTAACCTCAGAGCCAGATAATAATCATGATGTAAGAGAGGAGTAAGTGCATCCTATCAGAATCTTTAACAGATTATAATTGCAGGACAATAAAGTTTATATTTAAGCTTTTAAAGATACATTTAGCATGATGTTTATGGAAGCCTTGGATGGCTAACTGTATAATGATTGCAGGGAACCTTGATTTTCTGTGATGAATGTGACCGAGCCTATCACCTGACCTGCCATCAACCGCCCTTGAATGAACAGCCTCAAGGATCATGGATATGCTTTGCTTGCTCTCCTCAGTCCTCACAAAGTCGTAAGTATTTAAGGTAAAAATTATAGTATGAAAGATTCTTCACTATTAATGCCATAATTATGACTAATTGGGTTTTTATTTTTTATGAATGTTAAAAATTTTGATATACAGTTGTGGGAAAAAGAAATCACTGGTTTAGATTCAACAGTTAAGTATTCAAACAGTAATATGAACAGTTTTTATCTAATAATATTTGAAGATCAGATTTTACTTGTTTCCTTAATTTTCCTGCTTTCTATTTTTTTATGATAATTTTAGTATAAAATGATTGAGTAGTTAATGTTATATCCAATTTTTATATACAGTGGGGTATGCTATAACGAATCTAATTGGTTCTAGAACCTTGTTCGTTATAGCATTCGTTCGTTATAGGATTAATCCGTTCCAGGCCCCCAAATACAACCACTTAACACTGAAAAATATAATATTAAATTGTAAAAATTGTAAAAAAGTGCATAAATATGCATCTAAACCCCTGAAATAAAGAATATCATTAATATTTGTAATAAAAAAAACAATAAATTAGTAAAAAAAATAAATAAAAATAAAAATTAAATAATGTTCGTTGTAGGAGTTTCGTTCGTTATAGCATTCTCAATTTTATAGGTAAAACCGTTCGTTATAGGAATATTCGTAGTAGGATCCGTTCGTTATAGCATACCCCACTGTACATACCATTAATTTAGATTCAATGCACCAGGGAAGCACTAAATAAAAAAAAAAGAAAGTTGAGTGCATCCCACAGAAACCTCCTAAGTCAGAGCTTGTCTGATTTATGGAGGTTCTGACTTAGAAAAATTCCAACTTCTTACTTATTTATACATTATAAAAAGAAATTGGAAAAAGAAAAGCCTTTTGTTAAGTTTTGAGTCGGTGCATTGAAATGTTCATATTACATATTCATGGTTGAAAAAACCTAATGATCAACTCACTGACCTGAACTTGTTCCCCATTTATTGTATACTAACATTGTCATTTCTTCTGTGGGTCTTGTTATATGCTGAAGAAAAAATTATCACCTTGTCAACTGACTAGCAGTTCTAGTTTGTTGGACAGTACTATACAGTATTTGATTATAGTTTCTGTTTAAAATATTCCTAATTAACATATGCAGTTTACAAGAATATATGTCAATAATATTCATGGTGGCAAAGTTAAGACTCATTTTCAGTAACTTCATCTCCTAAACAAAGAATGTTGGTGGTAAATCCTTCATTATAGTGGCTATAGTATGATTGTTTACAGGTATATAACCTACACATATATTTAGTTATTTAATGTATGCTTGGATATCAAAATGGAAAATAATAATTTCACCCTTCTAGCATATGATTGTTTGCCCGGCCTGCCAACCCCTCGAGATTCCCCAGTACCTGATGATGAGAGCCGGGGTTCAAGTGCATCATGGGACAACAATATATATGATCCAGAGATCCCAAATGTCACACACTGGACAGTGGAGCAGATCATGGAATATTTTGATGACAAAGGCTTCAAAATGGTCTCAGAAGTGTTCAGGGATCAGGTTAGTTTCACCAATTGTTTTTTGTCTGAATTTAAAATATTAATTTTTATAGCTTCAGTTCTTCTGCTAAATAGTTCTTCTTTAGGTGCAAGCCATTTTGTGGGGTCTAGGATAGTAAGACTATTACCTCACTTGTTGCTGTCTTAACTGTATTACTGAAAAGGTTTTATCCTAAAAGTGAGACAAACATTTTGTCTTATTACATCATTTAAAAGATTGTTTACATGTAATTGGCTCATTTGAGACCAGGTTGGGGTGTCAACAAATAGACTACTTTTACCACCAGGGTCTGTCAACAAGTTAAGTGGCTTTAGTACCAGAGTTTATCAGTAATTCAACTGGCTTTAGCACCAGGGTTTGATGACAGTCACCAGGTATTAGTATCAGATCTTGTCAGTATGTTGCCAATCATTAATATTACTATTGATGCCTGTCAGCATGTCACCAGGCATTAGTACTTGAGCCTGTCAGCAGGTTACCTGGTATTATTACTAAGGTACAGCTGTCAGCTAATCTATTGGCTTTATTACTGGGATGTGTGACTACGATTGCACTTTTTTCTTTTGTACCTCAAGAATAATGGAAATAGAGGAATACCACTTTCCCTATTCATGATTTAAAAAAAAAGATAAAGAAAAAATGCTGCTGTTATTGCCTGTACCACCATGATCTTTGTATCATTTACATATATTGTAGTTTGAACATTTAAGACAATAATAATAATGTTATCCTGGACTAAAATCAAGACTTATTCATATGACAAACTGGCTCCCACACAACCCCAGACTGAAGTACTGTGTATGATTATTGATTGTTAAACAAAGAACATTCAGGGTTGGGGAGATGAGGCATCAGCCACTCCACACTTTCTATCACTCAGAAACATTTATACTGTACAGTGACTTTACTGATGAAATGCATTCTAATTAAGATATGAATTTTAAGTTATTTTGTAACAAAATGAAGAATGTATAATATAATTTTGAAGCTTGATTTTTTTTTTTTTTAGTCATAGCAATAGTGTGTGTTCATATCTCATGAAACCACAACCAAAGTTGACAAAAAAAATTGGCATACGTATAATTGTTCTTGGGGGCATAGAGGAACTGTCAATATTAGTTAATTTAAGATATAAGGTAGAGTAAGATTCAATAGCACTGACAAGGAAGTCCCCATTGCTTCAAATGTTCCTTTTCTAGATACTGGTTTCTTGCTAAGTTAGGGGTGTTTCCTCCATGGTCAGGAAATATGGTAACTCGCAAACAGTCATAGTAATTAAGAATTTATGACTGAAAATGTTTAAAATAATCACTGATTTGTATTTTTTACCACATAGAAGGAAAGAATAGTACACTACTGTACTATGGTAAATTATATGAAAAAATAATCATAGTCAATTATTATGTATATGGTCCCCATTCACTAGAAGTATATTGCTAAACTGAAAACTATCATAGTGTAACAAGTAGAAGGAAAGTGTTTATACTAGAAATATTGACTTGTCAACAAATAGTAAACTGTTAGTTGGCTTAGCCTGCGACTTTATCATGACTTACGTCTCGTACTGTATTTACAAGTTTACACATATGACTCTAGCATTGCTCATGGACACCAAAAATGGGTGACATAAACTTCTTTGACATAATGTAAGACTAAATAGTAAATGTTCAATATAAATACAATGTAACTCTATAGTAAATGTTCTTAACTTATGTAATAATAAGCCTATATAATTTTTCCACAGGATATTGATGGGACGGCATTGCTCATGCTGACACGTTCTGATGTGTTGATGGGTCTCAACTTGAAACTGGGTCCTGCTCTCAAAGTGTACAAACAAGTGCGAGTTCTCCAAACCAGGCTTACAAACCCTCCATTGCCTTGAAATTTTTAGTTCATAGGCCTTTGATGCACCCACAGACAGTACATTCATGATGTACATGTAAAAAGCTTTAACCACAGTAAAAATAGGCACATACAATGTTTTATGAAAATTTTAAAAAATTTAATTTATTGTTGTGGGTAAGGTTAATTATTTTAACAGTTTAGACAAATTTATTTCGCATACACAAATATATACAAGTTTGATTAGGTTCTTGTGGATGTTGATATAGTTGGGTGTACAAATAGCCATGTAAGGTAACTTTGCTGTGGTAACGTGTGATCTCTGGTTTTATTGATTCTTTCATTTCAGTTATTACATTATTTAAGTACAGTATCATATGTTTATTTAGTGTCTTCTGACGATAAATATATTATGCTAGCATATTTCTGTTTTACAAGAAATTAAATACTGTAATTCCTTTACAGAACTATATACTGTATTTGCATAATTATAAGCCACACTTTTAGCGCCCTTCCACCCAAAAACAAAATTATAAAAGTTGGGAAACAGCTAATATAGGATGCCATGCTTGGATTGGTTTGGTGTTGAAGTTCAGCAGACCAACAAATCAACATTAACCAGTGTACAAAACCTATAATGTTGTCATGAAACATTGGATCATTTACTGGTACAGGTATTAACTTCATAAATATTATTCCTGTCTTTGAAAATTTTTTATTTATTTATTTATTTATTTATTTTTTTTTTACGGGGATTAGCCCACCCGGGCACAGGTCAAATACAGTACAGTGTAGTCTCTCCTCGACGTAGGACATATTCGACTTACGACAACCCAGACATACGACAGCCATGGTCGTATAAAATATTTTTCACATTACATATTTTCGAGTCCTGACGTTAGTGATCGTGCTGTGTACTGACAAAATTTTTGTTTGTAATTCCCTTTAAAATGGTTGGCAAGCGTTAAAGTGAGAGTTCTCGTGGTGCTGAGAAGAAAGAGACACCCGTTTTAGAATTTTTTATGTACAGTCAGTCCTCGACTTATGACAGGGTTAGGGAATGACGACCAGGTCGTAAGGCGAAAATGCAAAAATAATACATAGAAAATCTAAAATGGGTGTCTCTTTTTCTTCTCAGCACCACGAGAACTCTCACTTTTAAGCTTGCAAGCCATTTTAAAGGGAATTACAAACGAAAATTTTGTCAGTACACAGCACAATCACTAACGTCAGGACTCGAAAATACGTAATTTGAAAAATAGTTTATACTACTGCGGCGGTCGTATGCCCGGGTGGTCGTAAGACGAGGAGTACCTGTATAATTTTTGCCTTTTCGACTTATGACCAATTCGGCTTACGACCTGGTCGTTGGGACGGAACCCCGTCGTAAGTCGAGGAGAGACTGTATTGAGATATTTATTGATACGGTAGACTTGGGGAGGTAAGTGTGTAAATCTGCACAGTACATGACAAACACAAGTTTCTGTATTAAGGTCAAAGAAGCAAACGGTTATAGGCGACTACCATCAGTCTAATATTATCCTAATTTTATGTAACTGGAACTTGAAAGCATAAGGATGGCTTGTTCGTTAAGCTATTACAAAAGCATTTTAAATTCCAGTGCATTAAAACCTGTCTTGAATTGTGTGCTTGTGTGGCAACAATGGTAGGTATTCTTTTACATGTAATGCTACTAGAATTGTCATTTTATGTTAGCTTCATGATATCTGGGTATCCAAGCAAGTTATGAATTACATAATGAATTGTTGCCTGATCTTGTGAAACTGATTTACTACACTGGTAATTTGTCAAGTGTCACAATGTGTCATAAATATGTAAGTAAAATATGTCATGAGATGTCAATGTCAAAATGTTTCATAAAGTTATACATTGCAACTTCTTGTGATACATTGTGATACCTTATAACACATTGTAATACAGTATCTTGAGATACATTGTGTAACACCTCATGACTTATTGTAACAGATTGTAATACTTTGTGACACCTCGACATAAGAAACCTAATGACACTGATATATAGCCTGTCACTTCTTGCCACATGCTTATTACCAATTGTTTGTGTATGTACTACATTCATATTTTTTTCCATATTCCTTATCCTTTTAATTTATGGCTCAATTATTATTTGTCGAAATCCATTACAATTAATAATTCATTGCTAAATGAATAAAAAACTGTAAAAAGTAATACATTATGTTATTTGTTGAAGGTATCCAGTAGTATTTATGTGGCGCCTCCCCAGTCTTATAAGTTCAGGTTCGCTGTCCCTTATATTTCTCTGGAAAATTTATGTTGTCTTTCATAACCCCTTGTGTATGGGGCCTCTGTGCTGAATGAAATCATCAGGCGTAAGCCACTGCAGAGCTGTTCCCTAACTACAGCACTGGCAAAATATGTTAAAAGTGGCATTCACATAGTGAAGAGGTTCATAGTATTAGTGATTATTTATTATTAGTAATTTAAAGATGATTAAAACCTTATATTATGTTACTGTACAATGAATTCAATATACTCAGAGAAATATTTTTGTATTTTGGAACATTGATGTTTTATTTTATTATGGTAAGTAAATATTTATTACTGGTAATTGTCATACACTGTTATTTGCAGGAATATATATTTTTTCTGCTTTGTTGATGTTTATTTCCTATATAATATGAGCAAATATAGTAGATGATCATTTTACTGTGCTTGAGAGGCAGTTCACCTGCACAGTCGAGCCATAAGCACAATTGGGGTCCCCCCAGGAGAAAAAAAATTGAGATAAGCTTCCAATGTAACTATATGCGAGTGTTGCTTATCGCCACCAGGGGTGTGGAGTGGTGGTGTTAATGTCTTGGCTGGCTAAGTTCATGAGCTGTGTGGCTGGGTCACGTATGTCCAGTTACCCTGCCTACAATTATTTACGGCACTTGATACACTTGGAATTTTAGTATTTACAATAAATACGAGCACTTTTTTCCATGTATGTATATTTTAAAATACAGGTGTACCCCAATAACCGCCGGCTTCTCATACCTGACGATTATTGGGGAAATACCCAACCAGTTTTGTTGATACCCTGGAGAACCGACAATCGGGAGAGGAGTGGCAGAGCTGTTTTGAATTTGGCAGGCAGAGGTGCGGTGTGAATTCTTGCCATAAGAGGGCTCTGCACACTGCCCTAACTCATTCCCGTCATCTTTGCTCTTGTTTATACTTATTATGTGTCTCTAACTTAGTGTTTTACTCAAGCATGCCTAAATGTCCCAGTGATAGCTCCTCGTGCTGGGCAGCTTGATGTGATGTGTTAAGGCGTAATAAGACTTGTGATGGATTAGCAAAGAATGATAGAAACTTGAATTTGGCATCCTAGACCATCTCTACCATCCTCAACACAGGTAAATACCGGTAAATCTCAATTTGTCTTACATTGCTTATTTAAGTCTTAATATGCTTGCATTATATGTCTGCTTTATTTTCTTGCTTGACTGTGTACAACAAAGATATCAAGGGTAGATAGGAATTTTTGGAGGGCGGCCGGTCCTTACCCCCAGAATTTTTTATGTTCTTATGGGATTAATTACTTCGATAGCTGTTGACTCACTAGCCAACGACTTTTCCCGGTCTCTATATGCTGTGGTTATCGAGGTACACCTGTACCAAAATTCAGTAGCTTCATCAAGTGCCATAAATATTTATGTACATTAAACTTTTGTTATTTGCGGTTTCGACTTCGCGGTAGGCAAATAATGGCTAGCTTACTAACCTCACCTGCAGCACAACAAATCGCCCCCGTGTGCCCGCAGTGTCTCTTGTGTTTTGCTTAAAACTTAAGTGTTTCTGTGTGAAATGGCTCCTAAGAGACTGCCTAGTGTCGGTGCTAGTGGAGTGAAATGTAAAAGGCAGAAGTCAGTGATAACCCTGACAAAGAAAGTTGAATTATTTGATAAGTTAAAAGAATGGATGAGTGCTGCTGAGGCTGGTCGGTTGTTTGGTATAGGTATACAGTAGTGCACTAAGGTACTGTAGTATAAACTGCTATTTGTGGTTTTGCCTATTGGATCCTAAGCCTGCAAAGTAAATTTCTCTAATTACAGTCCGTGTGGTTGGCCACTCACTGCAAAGTAGTCACATTGTTTATTTGATTTACAATATATCTACCAAATAACTCAATAAAATAGTGCGCTTAAAATTTTTAAAATTAACATGATAAATATGATACGTGTGTAACTAATATTAATTTGCCAAGCCAACCTATATAAAACAATCTGCTGTATTACCGTACATTAAAGTGTGTGTGGTTTTGGACTGAACAGGTGACGGAAGTGCATGGAATGTATGGTGGTCAAACTCAAACTCAAGGTCGAATCTAGGAATTACTGTATATACAGGACTTTTAATAATGAAAATGTACACATTTTGAGTTTAGATAGAGAAGAGTGATATCCAGTGTGATCCTATCATATCACAGGTTTCCCACTTCCAGAAAGTTGATTATTATTATAGGAATACGGTATATATAAAATAGATTAAGATAAATTAATTATAGGAATATATGAATTATATTAAGATACTGTACAAAACTACATTAGGGTGCATAGCCTGGGAGAAGGAGGTGGCGTATGGAATGTGGATAAAAGGAAATGCACTGTAGATTAAATAAAATTTACAACATTGGATTTACCGTAAAAGTGAAGACGTCCTGCATACAGTGGCCTAACATGAATGGGAGAGGTTGTTGGGTGTTACTGGGCCAGTACCGCAGAAACCAAATTTTACAAGGGAGTGCTGAATATCAATTTGCGATTCTAAATCAGTACCAATTAGTAGCAAAACTCAAGAGTCTACTGTATATAAAAGTACACTACCAAAAGAAAGCGAGTTTTCTAGATCTACATACGACAATGGACAGTGAGGCACTGTGTGCGGTCATTACCATCAATTCCACCTCTCGCCTGCCAATTCCCACACGCACTGCAGCGGGAATACTGTATTGAAAATTATATAGTTTCTTCCAAATATGGTTAAGATGTGTTTGATGCAGTTAAAGAGAAGTGTCTGTTTCAATTAATATGGCACAGTAAAGCCCTGGCTCGGCTAAATGATCGTCTACTGTATTAAAATACTGTACTGTATAGTCACCAAATATGGTTCCTAACTTGAACATTAATAACTTTTGTTGTGTACATGATGCATAAAGATATACAATGCTTTACACACACAAAAAAATAAATATATACTGTATATATATGCTGTGGTTGCATTCTGTGACACCATAGCATAATGGAAATACTTATTCTTATGAGGAAATTTATGATATTTTCCACAACTTCTAAAAGTCAACAGTAATGCTATAAAAGTTGTGGAAAAATCATTACAATACTCTAATGTGAGTTAGAAATAAAGATATTATAATATAAAACTATAAACTAAGACATGAAGAGCATGGCAGAAGGGTTAAAATGTGAGTTCAATTTCAGGGTGGCTTAAAACTGAGGTCAAATCTTATTTGCAAGAACAATGACTAAAACAGCCCGCAGCTTACAATTGAGGTGGTCTATGACTGTGCAAATACAATATGGAGTACAGTACTCTAATTAAGAATTGAGTTGTTCAACCAATGTGTATAAAGTGTAAATATATCATCTTGTAGTGTAAGGTACACATGTCTCATTAGCTTATGTTTTGTATAATCCATAATGATCGTAATGGTTCATCATTACATGCTTCACCAGTGCTGATCTTCATAACCGTGTTGCCCTCCACTCAGTGTATGGTAGTTGTAGGCTTAACCTGCAAGATAAACATAATTTATCCAATTTTGTACA